TTGTTGATCTGCGATATACTAGGCAAATTGTTAGGGTGAACTACCCCGTCTAAAAGTAATCGGTTTTGAACTTCAGAGCCATATGATGAGGGTTTCATTAGCTTTTGAACTTCTATATACTCTAGAGCATCATTTGTGATTTTGGGAGTGGGATATTCGCTTCGAAACCCTCTTTGAGAACTGTTTTTCTCCAAGTATCGAGAGCAAACCTTTTGAACAAGTTGTTGGCTAACTCTCAATTGGCGAGATATCTCTYTCTGTGGAACTTCGTCGTGATAAAGATCTAGTATTTTTTCCCGGTACATTTGCGGTAGTGCTCTGCCATTGTCGTAAATTCCGCCATGTATATTTTGCCTTAGCTGTACATCTTATAAGAAAAAAGAAAGATAAGCAGGCTTGATTTGRCTATAAGATAATAATATTGCAAAATAGAACTGAGCTAWAAACTGTAGCCGGCTATATAATCAATATAATKTAATCTGCGTAACACCGGCCGGTTCCGCGGTGCGATTGACTACAGACACTGCATATCAAAATGACCACCAAACAATCAAGAASGTCCTTGAAATTCTTATATCTAGCATWATAAGATTTGTGATTATTCATTTGAAATAGATTGTCGAACTTACTTGTGTTGTTTCCCAAATTCATCGTGTTCTGACAGAATGATCTCGTTCGTTTCGGCGCCTAAACTTTCAAAGCCTTGCTCCCGCCCCCAACACCAACTCGATACGTGATTGGCCGAGTGAATATCTGATATGTCAAAATTCTGTCAAAAATTAATCAAAAAACTTTTCGGGTGACTACGGTAACGCGCGTACCACTGTAAAAACTTGAAAGATGATATCTCCACCATAGGCTTACAAAGTACTCAAAGCAACAAAATATGAACAAGTTCTAAAAAGTGCTCCCAAAGCCAGAAAACTTATAGGATTTACTGAGAACTCCGCCAAGTTGTTCCTCAAGAATACTGCCGTCCTCAAGTTCAGCCAAAAAGCCGGATCGTTTTTGAAAGCAATGAAAGTGTTTAAAGTTGCAGGAGTGGTAATGTCAATCTTCAGTATTGGTGGGTATATTAATGGACTTGTAATACGWTTGCTTGCAATATTTGCGACTTTTTGCCGTTGCAGTGCTCGGTTGCACCTTCGAAGTTCGTCTAATTCAAATTCCAGCTGCTTCTTGMTAGTGTTTCACTTAGCGTCATCACTTGAATCTATCACTTTGCTTTTAATGTAGCTCTGGATTTATTCAACATCATAAGTACCTTTAGCGGTTGTGCTGACAAGAGGGACAGAGCAAGAGAATCTTGTGACAGGCTCCAAGAAGCTGAAAATAATGTCACAACCACAAGGAATAATGTCATTGAGTTCGAAAACATTCTCGAAACTGGGGTAAGATATCCAACAATTATTTACTGACATGTACCACAGACCATTCTGGCTTTCTGAGCTCGCAGTGTCTTTATATTTGATATTCTAATACTATTCACTTATTTGGGTACTGCATCGATATTGAAGGCTCACCGTTGTTTCAAAGGTTTAAGTCACAGCAGACAGTGTTCAAAGAAGATGCTTCAGGAAGAAATGGTGTACTACCAAATTTCGAGTTCTTCCCAGTATTAAAGCAATTTCTTGTGTTTTATAGATGGAAGCTAAACTAATGGGAGAAATTCGAAACTGCGATTTACATTCTGCCTTGGCCCACATAAAGGACACAATTGCAGGCCTTCCAAAGCCTCAGAATGGTATAGACAGAGATTTTGACACTGAATATTGCATACGAGCAATCCCAGAATTCCTTCAAAGGGTAAAAGCGACAGKTGTTCCGATAGAAGAAATAAAAAATGGAATGTTAGACATCGTCGACAACTGTATAGATAAACTGAAATTCTCCTATGAGTGTTTGAAGACAAGACTCTTTTTGAATTCTCAGGTAACATGTATATGATAGGAAATGGATACTTTTTTGTTGTTTTCCGCCATACATAGTATATATACATGAACATCTATAAGAATTTAACAAATTGTGCACAACGTTAGTTGCGTGTCCTCTAATTGACATAACACTTGACATTGAAAAATGTTCAAAATGGACAAACGATATTTATATTGGCATATTATAAACAGACAATCAGGACGAGAGAGTTTATAGAAGCGTGCAGATTAATGCTTGTTATCTCAAGCCTTCATGAGTTTAGCTATGGCTTTATAGTTGTAATTATAGTTGTAATAACTCCATTTTCATTCTAGATTACTTCGAGTTGTAGAAGTGGATTGCATACATTTGATGAAATTTACGAGCAGCAAAGTAATATGACAGCAAACAAACTGGTGCTTGACAATTGCATTAGCAAAGGTGAAGCGTACACGACTAAAGAAATGTTCAAACAATCACTGGAGACTGCAAGCAACCAAGCGGGCATGGAATTTTACACTGAGAATTGTAAAATGAACAACCCAGCGAATGTTGGAGATATTTGTGAAGGAAATAGTGTCTCAGGCCTTACACAAGCGGAAATACAGACAGTGAGAACCGAAAAGTGCAAAGGTGGAAAAGCACCAAAAATCAGCGCAGACAATCGAAAGGAGATTTGTATGTCTCKGGCGTTTGGCGTTGATGTCGATGAAATTATCGGTGACATGAAGGATAGCATTCCAGGCCTGACAGCTGATGATATCAATGGTCTGGACTGTAATTAACCATAGATAGGATGAAATTGAAAAAASTGTCATGTGTATGTATGTGAAATGCTATTGTAATATWTAATGTTCCAAATGAGCTCTGCTAACTGGAACAAAAATTGCCAGTAACTGCACAATTTTCTTATGTTTAAAGCAAAGTGTTTGTGCTTGTGCCTTCATAAATTTATCTTCAAATGGTTTAAGTGATTTACGTTTTTGCATAGTGCATTACTTCATTTTATTTTATAACAAGCTGCGATTTTGTAATGAGCTGGAATGAGGGTGGGTCGCACAAAAGGATTATGACTCATGATATTGCATAAAGGATATTATACACTGCGTATAGAGAGTATACGTAAAAGCAGAAAACTAGCTCGAGAAAATAGAACCTCTGTTTCCAACAAACCTGCTTTTCTATTCTGTGTACCCACGGAATGAAATACACCTGATACGTTCCTCCAAATGGCTGCAATATTTTCAGTGTAACTGATCASGTGCTTACAAAACTTCTTACTGAAGCATACAATATATAATACATGTAATATTTTAGTGGTCATATCTTCATTTTTTAGCTTGAATGAGAAAAGTTAATTAGCGCAATTATTGGAGAGAATGGCAATACTGCTTTGAAACGTTGGACTGAGGTGTTTTAAAACTGGCCACCTCGCGGAGACAGTTTTTAATGTTTACCTAATGTAAAACGGTTTTATTTCAGGAACAACAATATTCAATCAACAAACCCTATCTAAGTTGAATGAAAAACAGTCCATCCATCTGTCATTCAACAAGACTTCATCACGTGATGGAACAAATCTTCGGACGAGTTAAAACTTTAAACCTGCTAGAAGGTCAAGGGTTTTTTCGGGTTCCGGCATTTCGAATAATTACTATTATCACATGGGTCTCATAACTCTTATTTCACTTATTTCTATTTTGGTTGGAAAACAATGCTACGTACCATTCTCTAAAACTTAAAAAAATGTACAATTTTTAGTTGAAAGATTACGGCTCAACAACAATCTGCTCTCCAGTTCATTTTGATTAGATTTCGTGTTGAATTTATAGCTCTTTTTCACAGTAACTACCGAATGTGTTTTTACTTTATTTCATCTTTTTATGCAAATTAGCCACACAGTCATCCAGAGTCCTAGAGAATTCAACTGATTTAGATATGTAAGCAGGTTTGTCGTAGAAACTTTTATAGTGAATACTTATCAAATGAATGAACTGATGCAAACTTGTTCTTTGAGCAGAATTATATATTTTTTTATGATTATTATAGAAAATTATTTTTAAGTGAGTCTATCCATTGGTTCTAGAACTGCAAAGATTACAGACATCTTGTGTCATGTTGCATTACAGTTTAAACCCGTCATGGAGATTATCCTAAATAAGACTTATATACCAAAGACGCAAGCATTATCTATGTGTGAAAATCAATAACCTTTGCGAATAACAAGGCGTAAAATTCATATCTGCTAGAAGAAAAAGCTGACATAATATCATCGAGATTGGATGGGCACATGTAACAGACCACCGAAAGCTCGAAACAATAGATAATAGCGCACCATTCTACGCAGAAACACGCGCTATATGACGTTTCAACGTCAATCTCAGTATTAAAGCAAAAACAACAATAATTGAAACAAAATAGCATCAAACAAGCTCAAGAAGATAGGGATATACTTATTTTGTAAGTACGAGCGATTAGGAAACATTGAATTAAGGACTTCAAGTGGCAGACGTACCTTTTATTTTTCACGTCATAATCAACATTTGTTTAGGTTTCCAACTGTCAAATCTGATCACCTTAGTAATAGGTGAAAAAAGAATTTGAAAACAAAATATTAAATGGAGTTTTTTTTTTGATAATTTGTAATTCCTTTGACTTCTACGATCTTTAAAGTACATATATTATATAATCAATTGATTTGTCTCGATTAGTTCTCTTTCTATTCTATACATAATCGCTATATAATGCGTAATCACAATCGCTAATTTTTGTCCTCCTTAAGAACCAGTTCGGTAAAATCGACTAAAAACAATTATAGTAAGAAAAAATCGTTGACTTTTCTCCTGTGATTGACTATTTCAGTTTAAGGCGATTTTGTAGACTCACACCAGCGAGTCTCAATCGCCCATCGTGGCGTTCAATATTTCTTGGAACATTCAAAACCGCGGCACCAGACAATTGAAATTTACACTTACGGGCGTACAAAGTCACCTTGTGTGTTGCCTAATTAAAAATTTCGTCTAGTCACAAACCATGACAACATTTGAGGAGCAAGGGRAAAACTTAATAAATCAAGTAATCTTCACACTTCCTTGTAGAACACCTTTTAGGCAACGAAAGTTTTTAGAATTAAGTCTCACTATTCGCCAAATGTTAAGGTGAATTTAATACAGACGATTTCTTTACTAATACAGGTCCTTCAGTCCCTATCATGACACAATAAACTGCTCACCTGCTATTTAGTAAAACAACCCAAATTACCCCCATTACAATAACCATTACTATAACCCCCATTACTATAACGCGGTTAAATTTCCGAAAGAATAACTGTTTATATTTGTATATATTATATATAGTATTTATTGAATTTTTCCACTCGATCTTTTTATTTTCGCTTTCTTTCATTTTCATGGTGTCCAATGCGGCTTTCTTTGTAGTAGACGTTGCCACCATTTCGGGTAATTACCGGGTAATCACTGATCAATATAAAATAATACACTTTTTATTCTACTAAAACTACTTTGTTGGAGTCAACACAGTTAATACTACCAACAGTCAATGATCCAGTTGTTACTTTGACGCAGTGGACCAACCCTAAGTTTCTATTTCGGCTCCCTTGTGATTACTAAATAAATGGGATCCTTCTGAGAAGATACCACCTGCAAGTGAAACGATTGATCAGATTTTCGTTTTTCCGTGATAAATGAGTCAAGTCAAGATGAAATTACCGTACCATTTTGCGTTTAAGGAAATACCAACAACAAACTTGCGGAGTACGTAGAGCTGATAGCCATACCATATACTATATACATACTGTACTTTTGTATAGACAAAGCTAAACAAAGAAATTATTCTAATAAGCATTATTTCATTTTGTGACCTATCTTTTTCACAGGAATATTTTGTTTGCCATCGAGAGTGTATAAATYGAGCCTCTACATTTTTTTTACATATTAGTGACGCGAGTCTTCTAGTTATTCAGGCTAGTTATTTAAATTCTCATAAAGCGAAAAGTACTGCAAGAAAAAGTAAAACCCTTGTTTGTTTAAAATGGAGGAACACTAATTAATGCAATTATTTTTGTTGGTTTTTGCTGCCCGCTGCCTCGCTGTTTTCTTTCTTTTCTTTATCTGCTTGCAAACGAAGGTAGTGCTTTACTTCAAAGGTGTAAATTCAAAGAGTGCATTAATATTCATTTACAAGGTGTCATAAAATGGGCGGTACTCCGTCATGGATCGAAAGCAATTACCGGCAGTAATTCCCCCTACCAGAAAACGCTTTTAAGATATATCGTTGCTTTGAGGTGCTGTCACACTTAGACGGAGATAACAATCGGTAAGAATCAAAAGCTGTTTGTTTAACATTTAACTTTTATTTTGTCGATAACTTTTAAACGTTTTTACTCTTTGACATTTAATTTAATAGAAACAATGGCTCGTCCATCTAAAAGAYTGGCCTTGTTACTTTGCCTRATTGTTCTTCATCAAGACTTTATTCAGGCGCGTTCCAGCTACAATGAACATCTTGTTGCGTCTGCACGAATGATGCATGAAGGTAAAATGTTCAAGAAGTGCACGATAACAATTGGATGTTTATAAGAGATAGCTATTCCATGTCTTTTTTTCTTTTTTTGGAATTGCTGGAATATGATTGTTTATGGCTCCAATGTGACTTTCTTTAAACGGTCATTATATGTTTATTCACATAGTCCTCACCATTCTGCATCTTCAAAGTCCTTTCTTCTACTGCTGAAAAAAATAGAACTTTTTATAGATATGGACAATTTTATAGGAATTGACTATTTTTGTTTTGTTCTGAGAAATGGGAGGGGGTCGGGTGGTTCGTACATGCTTCCGTTCTTCATTTCAATCTAACTAAATCAAAATCTGAATGTCAAAATGTAATGATGTTGAGGTAAAGTGATCACTGCATCATAGTGATTTATGAACATATAGTAACTTATCTTGAATCGCGATAAGAACTTTTTCAAGAACTGTGAAATATCTGATCGATTGAATAATTTCTTCTAGACATGGACGATGAAGCTCACGAATTTGGAAACACTATCAAAGATGTTGAGGCCCGACACAGTAAGTTCACCAGAAAAAAATGAAGCTTGTCTTCATTCTTAGAAAAAAAAAATATTTGTCATGGTAAATCTATGACAATATGCCTTTTTCCGGTAGAAAGCTACTTAGAAAATCATGTTCTGTTTGACAACTGTTCTATTTAGCAACAGACAATTTTACATGAAAGATATGTTGAAAAAGAACAAGAAATCTGGTTCTTAAAAAAAAAAATCACAATTGCACCTTCACCTTATTGAAGTCAGCAGTTTTGAGCAAGTGCCCTAGCAACGAAAGCAGTATTCAAAAAAATATATTCGTTGAATAATCTCTGTAAAACATTTGCGGCACTTTACAAAAGATTGAATGGGACAAAACGTTGCCATTAATGGTTTCTTGGCTACTATCTTGGCTTAAAGATAGCCGCAATCCATATAAAAGTGTTTTATATGTCTACGGTCTTCAGTGGATTGAATATGTGAGCATCAATTCCTCAATAAATCCTAGATTTTTGATAAGTTAGAAAATTCCCAACTAATTCGAACAGGTTAACTTAAAGAACATACTTTTACTTTGATTGTTACAGATATTACTATAAGATCAGACATTGGAAGGCCACTTAACAGAGGAAAAAGTATGTATTGTGCCCAATTATATTTTATTACCTCTTCATTAAAATGGTCTCCTAGTCACAGAGCACGTGGATCTGCCCACAATAAAGATATATAGAAAACTTTTCTCAATTTTAGCCTTTACTTTGAAAAGTACTCGTGACTAAACGTTTCTAACGAGACGTGGGTAAACGAAAAATTCCGCCATCATACAATGTAAGGCGTAATAAGGATGGAGCATCACAAAATCTTCCCGTATGGCCAAATGACTTCAAATAAGAAAAAATGAAATGCTGAATATATTTTGATTGAGTAGAACTACACTCTGTATATTTAATTAATGCTTCATTAAAGGAAATCCAACACTCTCCACAAGAAGACCAAATRGTGAAATGCTAGTTGGGCAAGCAATGTTTGATKAGTTTAGAACGTCTTCAAAATAGAGCAGCTAGGATAGTTAACAAGTGTTCGCGTTCTGTACCAGCACTTGAAATGCTWAAGTGGCCTGCTCTAGTTGRTCGTCGAAATRATAACACCTWTAAAGTTGTCAAAAAATGTATTAAGGGGCGTTGSCCACAGTTTTTCAAGGACTATTTTGTCTTAAATARGGATKTCTGTACTCGAAACACCAGACAGAGTAGTAACCTRCATTTGCCAAAAGTAAAGACTGAGTTCGCCAAGCGTTCTTTTTACTACCACGGCTGCAAGATTTTTCATACCTTGCAAAATAGTTAAAGAATTTTTATTCATTCAAATATATAGTATAGATTTTTTTCCCCATATTCTTTCATGAATTATATGTGTTTAAATTTTCATATCCCTTTTTTGTCTCTCTCTCTTCTTGTAAATATTAATAGTATYTAAATTGTAATAAAATAGCTTTTTCATATTTTTATCCTTTTAGCTTAGATAAGTATTTGTATTAAGAGTGTGCTCAGGGCCCCTATTGATATCAGTGCCCCTCGGGGCTCTGAAAGGGTTACCCTGAGCCTTATAATAAATAAAGGTTTCTATTCTATTCTATTCTATTTTTTTGAATTATTCACCATGTTGCATTTGTCCGAAGCTCAAGGAATTTCAATACACTTTCAATGAAAACACAAGACAAAAAAAATCAAGCCGCCAATGGCAACACAACTCGAAGATTGATTGTGTAGACGAATACAGAAAGATATAATGATGAATCAAATTTACTTAATGAATAGAATTTTAAATAAACGATTTATTAATATAGTTTTATAATTTAACTTCGGTTGTGGATAAACACAAGCGAGCGACGGTGAGATGAATACCACTCGAGCTACAACTATGAGTAAATGAGAAGCGCTATATCTGGATCCGAATAACAAATAAAATCACCGCAAGTGTCAAAAAACAATAACACTGAATAACAACTAATCCCTAAGAAAACTTGGAGTTCAATTATTAAGCAAACAATATTAATTTCAAGACGTAACATTGACTAATATTTCTCATGTTGGTAGGCGAAAAAAAATTGAGTTTGCCAAATAAAAATTATTCGCAAGGAAAACCAGAATATCAAACAAAATCAAAGCAAAGGTGAAGCAAATCGACGAATACTAGTGATCACATGATCACGTGGGCTTCCAACATAAAGAGCTTAAAGTTACATTATGGCTTCATTTCTCCACATTCATTACTGATGAAATTACCCAAAAACTACTAAGTTTGACTTTTGTTTTAGCCACAAATATGTAAAATTTGCGATCTTTGGGTAAATGCTGCCACGTGTAGTAGCGCTACATCTGACAGCGAAAGACGCAAAAAAATCACCGCAAGTGTCAAAAACCAATAATAACAATCGATGTCTCTAGTCCAATTAAATCAAACAATATAAACTTCTACAAACAGCCAAGTAGATATTTACTTAAATTGGATCATCAAAGAATTTGTGGTTTAACCGTANTTGATTTTAGAGGATGTCAAACAACTGTTATCCCTCCTTTGACGCACAGAACACACAAGATTTGGTTGAGGAAAACTAGTTTCGTCTTTACTAGAGCTTTTCAACTTTTTCAATTCCTCGATCTACAACTGTTATGAATTGAAAAGGTTTAGTAAAGTCGAAACTAGTTTTCCTCAACCAAGTCTTTTGTGTTCTGTGCGTCAAAGGAGGGATATATAAGTATTTTAACATCCTCTAAAATGAAATATCAAGAAATATTAACTTGGGTTCTCGATAAGCACGGGCCAGCACCTTCGTACAATCATTTCAAAACGACGAATTTGGAGGATCGTCTTCTTTGCTTGCTTCAACCTTTAGTGTTACTGAACGGTAAGACGAATCAAATTATGATTTACTTTACAAATGGAATTTTAATGTGAACGATTTATGTATAGAGTTTATTTTTCGCTAAAACTAATTATTTTTAACTTTGATTCTTGACAACCAGGAGCGAGCACCTGCACTTCACAGACAAGTCTAACCACAATTATACGCGTGGCCGAATGGAAGTGCCTTCGATTTCTTAGACCCGTCTACACGAGCAAGTTTTTATGTGACAACTATATGTGACATTTTTTCTGTCCGTGTTGACAGGCAGCCAGAAATTATTGTTGAAGACTCGCGCCAACTGTGATTTTGCACAGCGGAGATGACATAAACAAAACAAATTTAATTACCATAGTTTCGTAGTAGCTCTAGAGATAATAAAACTTTAAAAAATACGATATATTTTTAAATATTTTTTTTATATGTATTTTCAAATATATTTTTTAGATATATTTTTTTATTTTTATATTTTTTAATCTTAACATGAATGAGGATGGCATAATGTAATGGTGAAACATGTAAAGATTAGAAAAATATGTCGTATTCTTTAAAGTTTTATTAAAACAAATTTAGTTGGTGTTAGCTCTTGCAACAACAATAATAGCATTCTCTCTGTTGAATCCAGTCGTTCTGCTTACTATCTGTGTCGCCATCTTGGTTGGTGTGCAAAATGTTGAGACGTGGATTTAGTGTGACGTCGAAATAATTACCATATTTATGTGACGCCCGTCCACACGGGAAATTATCGATATGCGACAATTACATAAAAACTAGCATGCCAGCATTCCAGCAACTACAGTTGTCACATAAAAATTGTCCAATTTTGCTCATCTACACGGCAATTAAAAATTGTCACATAAAAATTGCTCGTCTAGACGGGGCTTAATTCAGAGTTCTGAAGTTCAAGACTCAGAGGAGCTGACATTTCTTTAGATTTCTTTCTTTGCCAAAAAATAAATAAATTCAATCAAATATAGAACAGAGAACCCAGTAACGGTAACTTAATGAGAAAATTAATAGAGAACAATGAGAATAAATAAATAGTTCTGAACACAAATAACGCAGGCTCAAGTTTACAGGAAAGTGAGTGAGTGAGTGAGTGAGTGAGTGAGTGACAGATTCGTCCCCCTCCAATAACTCTTCGATTGCTTCGCAATCTTCGAGTTAAAAAGGACAGTCAAATAATATGCAAATTGTATTGAGAGTAAAGTTTATTTCTCGATGTTTTCTTCATGTCTATTATTAGATTCCCATCTTTTTAGACTTTTTCACTTGATAATGTCGTTAGCAACGTCAAAACGTCGACTTAATGAAATAAGGGATTCTCTTGCATCCCTATTCTCCGCTCGGCCCTCTCAAATCCTTTTAAGTCCTCCTTTACGCCATAGACGATAACATATACATACATACATATTTCATTTGGAGCTTTGCACACAAAGGTACATCAACTTAATTCCAAACAAGATAAGAAAACTAATAGAGAAATACGACGTCCTTGTGTCAGAGTAATAAAAAGACTGTAAATATAACCTACATTAGTACAAACATACTAATGGTCTATCACTCATACTGCGCTGTGATTGGCTACTCTACTAATGGTCTAATTTGTGATAGACCACTCACGGCAAAATCAAAATGGCGGCATCTCATTAATAAATGATTTTAAGGATATTTCAATTTGTTTTCATTATTTGACCGATTAGCATGTTTATACTAAAACAATTAGATCTCTCGACCTCGTGGACTACGAGCTAATAGCCCATTCGGACACGCGGACTCGGCCTCATGGGCTATTAGCTCGTAGTCCACTCGACCTCGAGGTCTAATTGTTAATTATTATACTTGTTGGATTAAATATACGTGTACAAAATATTTTGTATACTTCTATATCTCATACAATTGCAATGCATATGTGAAAATATGCATTTCATAAATTGATATGAAATAATCTTTTTCCAGGTTGCCATTACCATATTTCTTTCCTACTTCGCAAAGC